TACTTCCTAATTTTGCATCATCTATCTTTTTATCCTTATGCTGGTACATTCTTTTCAGTTCACCTTGCGATTCTTTTGTTGGGATTTTATTTCAGGTATAATTTTTTTTAATTATCAAAGGGTTGTTCTGGTCTCAAGAAGGATGTATTCCTTTTTATTCTTGTTTCAGCTTTCAGTCTCCGGGGGTGTTAATTATAAACTACAATATTTTAATTTTCTTCTGATCCTCTATTGTCCCTGTACCTCTGAAGTAATTTTAAAATTCCATTTGCTGCAAATTATCTTACTCATTTTTGAACAACTTTTTGACTATCTAGTGTTCTTGATAATATATTCATACTGTTCTATCAGTGTAGATGTTATGGTTTAGATCTACAATGTCCCCCAAAATCTTGGGTTCAGAAGGGAGGGCTTTTGGAAAGTGATTGGATGATGGGCACATTATAGTCATCAATGGATTAATCAATTGATGAGTGCATAGCTAAATGTGCTGTTCTGAGGAGAAGCCTGATCAGAACTGATGGGTCACTGGGGGCATGATCTGGAAAAGTATATTCTTATCCCCAGTTCCTTCCTTCCTTCTAATTCTCTGTATCTCTTTCTCCCTCTGCTTCCTGGTCACCAGGATATGAGCTTTTCTCCACCAGGTCCTTTCCTCATGCCTTTTCTGCCTTGCTGCTGGCTGATGGTGAACTGAACCCACTGAAGCTGTGAGCCAAAATAAACCTCTGCTCCTTTGTGAATGCCAGTTTTTTCCCCAAAGATGGGAAAACTGACTAAAAAAGTGGACATGCTGACTCTCGGGCTTTCCTCTCAGACATCAAGTCAGCCTTCCCACTGGGAAGATCACATGCCAATATCCATAGGCCCTTCTTAATTCCTCCAGTTTCCCCATGGAAGGAAAGATTCTCCCTTGAAGCTAAGGCCCCAGCTACCAGGCTCTGAGTGCAGGTCTTGGAAAGGTGGATAAAAATCTGTTAGTTCAGTATACTGACCTTTCCTGTTCTCACTTTTCTGGATGCACATCTCATACTAATCCTGCACTGCTTCTGGTATCCCCAAAAGAGGAATTAAATAATTCTGTTTTCTGAGAGAACAAGCCTCAAATCTCCAGTGATGTGGGGCATAAAAAAGGGTGACTTTTTGGTTGTCTGGAGTAAAGAGAACTGGAGTCCCAACTGTTCTCTTTCTGGCTTTTAGCTAATGCCCATGCTCACCCCAGCATCCTGACTCAATTGGGTGTGAGATTCCTAGATGTTCCATAAATTGGGTCGGCTTCCCACTCCTATCCTTCCAACCCATAGGCTCTTCAGTTGTAGGGATCTTCACTCTGCTTTCATATTCTCCAAAACATCTTGGCAGAGCTTGTTGGTTCTGACCTCTTCCCCATGTCCTTTGTCCTTGGGACAAAAGCAGAAATGAGGTCGGTCTATTATTTTTAAGAAGCATTAAGACTATTTATAAAGACAAGATTTGAAACTGTAACTGCCTTCTATGACCTTGTTTTGGAAACTTTTCCAAATGACCTCATTTCCTAGTAGAAGCGATTTTCACAGTGCTCCTGAGTGTTTGTGGAATCAGAAGCCTCAAGAATCCTGTGCATATATGTGGCTTCCATAGAGAAGCAAAGAAAATTAGAAGCCTTTCAGAGCACCAAGTGGTTGAAAAATCTAAAGTCTGAAAAGTCATCTCAAGGTGACTATAAACAAACTGATAGAAGGGCCTCTCCAACTCCCCTGATCTGGGAATTTTATGTGTCTGCTTTCCTTATTATTTTGAGGAGTCATGGGAGAGTTTCAGTTTGCTAGTTTCATCTTTGAAAGTCTAATCAGACTTAAAGTGGGAACTTTTCAGGGAGGTGGTAAAGCAGCTCTAATGTTCAGAAGTTGTGGCAAAAAAGTCTGTAGGAACAACACACACAAGCTCACAGTTTTAATTACTCAAATTCCTAAAGGCTGTGAAGTTAAAAAATTTCTTCTTGGGGAAAACAGACTTGGTCTTCTCTCCTTGACTCCCTCCCTCCCTTGACTTCTGCACAAGAATGTCAAGGACACAGCCACCAATGAGGTTGACATCAAGACGCCTCCTCCATTGAAAAATGACAGGGAACAACTCACGGTGGGAAGCTTTTTGCCTAAGGGGCTGTGAATCTCGGTTCCTTTCTCACTAATAAGAGAATTTTACTTCCTTGGGCAAAATGGAACACAGCTGTCAGTTATCCATGACAGAGAAATCATAATATTACTTCAGTTTATCTTCAGCAGCCCTCCAACTCTCACTGAGTTATTCCGGGTGTGCACCAGGTTATTTTTGGCACTTTGAATGCATTAATCTGGATGAAGAAAAGAGGCAGAAGAACAGAGCCTTTAAGATCTCACATCTCGATTAAAATTATAGGTCCCACACTAACTAGCTAAAACAAATTGAACATGTTACTGAACCTGTAATATTCATATGTTATCTATGAAATAGATAGTCATGGTATCTTTTCAATAGAACAATTAATATTAAAGGAAAAATATTTAAATATATAGGGAGTGCTTAATAAAGGTACATATTTTTATTAGAAAGATAAAATGTGTGAGTTTGTGTGTGTGTGTGTGTGTACACATTTGGTTTGATGTGTTGTGTTGGACTAAGGTGTTAAATATGTAAACTATGCCCACAATCCTCTGCCCAGTAGGAGTCATGCTGCCTTCCAGAAAACAGCTCATCAGCATCTAAAAGTGACTGTGCCATCTTCAGAACATTTGACTGTTAGAAAATTATTTTGAATGTAAACCAAAATACAGCTTTCTATCATTTACATCTGTTGACTGAGTAGCCCTTGAGGACACATGCCACAAGACTAATCTGCTCTCTCCCTCGTAGTCATTTCAGTACATTTTCTGTTACTGTAATGAAATACCTGAGGCAGAGTGATGTTATGAAGAAAAGATATTGATTTAGCTTAGAATTTTGAAAGACGAAAGTCCAACCAGCTTAGTGCAGCATCTGGTGAGGATCTCCTTGGCCATATCACCTCATGGTAGAGGGCAATGGTGGGGGCATGGGGGGAAGAAGTGATCACATAATCAAACAATAAGTCAGAGAGCAATTCTGAGGTCAGGCTCATGCATAAACATTCACCCTTCAGAGAGCATAGGGATCCCATGAGTGTTACCTTAATTTCTTCCTAAGACAACTTCCCCAAGGAGCTCAAGGAACTCCCACTAGACCCCCTCATCAATGCCCACATTGGAGACTAAGCTTCTAACTCACGAACCTTTGGGGACACACCGAAACCACATCCAAATCACAGCACCGGTTCTCCAGGAACGTGATGGCAGATGTCAGTGAGCTTTCTCTCAGTGGGGAGGCTGAGCCATGTCCTCTGTGGTATGTCTTGTGCTTTGGTCTCAGGCCCTTCTCATCCTGGGTGATCTTTTCACTACATTGAGTCACACCTCACGAGGAATGGTACCCAGAGTTGAATGCACTATTGCAGGAGTGCTCTCACCAAGGCCAAGCATAGCCCAACTCTTAGGAACCCCAAGCTTCCCAAGCTCCACAAAGCCATGTAAAATGAATCTATGGAGTCCACCAAAAGACATATGCACACTTCAGGAAAAGAAAAACTTGTATAAATATTTTAACACTAAATTTATTGAGACAACGTGAGATTAACACAAGTTACCTTCAGCCTCTACCATTGCAGGAGATGTTCAAAATGGTGATCATGAGCTTGCAGACATTTAATAGCATGGCAAACTGCTGCTTGGGTAACCTTTGTTATTGAAATTGCTGCACATGCATTTTCAATTTCTTCTCTCAGGGCCTGCAGTGTAGTGGGTTTTCTGCAATATATGACATCCTCTAGGGTCTCTCATATGTAAGAGTAACACTATCTTTTAAAAAAAAAAATACTGTTTTTCTTTTCCTGAAGCGTGTTTTTTTTGTTTTTGTTTTTGCAGACACTGTGTATATCAGACAGTGAAAACCGAGGTTAAGATCTAGAATCTAGGGCTGGGGATTAGCTCAGTGGTTTTGCCACCTGCTGCGCAAGCACAAGGACCCAAGTTCGATCCCTGGTACCAAAAAAAAAAGAAAAAAAACCAACAAGATCTAGAATCTAGTAAATTTGAGCCAAATGAAACATCTTTCCAATGCCAAGAACTGCTTCTTTTCATTGATGTTTTATTTACTTTTAGTTTTTACTTTAGTAGCGCTACATGCTATGATCTACCTATGAACAACAGCCTTAGTCCCCAGAATTCTGGGGGATTAAGGGGTAATAAATTAACCAATGGTTAATTTAAAAAGTGGCTCCTCTGTCTGTCTTAGTGTCTGTCTTCATGGGAAAAAGCCAAGGAAATTAGAATCATGAGGACCCTGGGATTCCTAGATTCTCTCTCCAACCTAACTTTGAGAATTAGTCCCCTGACTAAAATTGGATTCAGATTCAATTTCAGTCTCTCCCCTTCATCAAAAACAAACTGTACAGGTTATGTGAATTTTTGCCCCCCTTAACTTCAGTTCCTTGGATCTCTGGAATGCAGGCAACAATTGCTGCCTCCCACAACTCTGGCCGAGCCATGAGCCAAGATGGTGACATGACTGCCGCACAGGGTCTGTAATGGGAAATGCTGTGGAGGTGCTGCCCGCCCATGTGTTGTGACTCAGTATGGCCTCCACCTTAATTTCTGACGCAGAAAATGTTTCACTCTTCATTATCTACTAGAAAACTCACAAGACTGCTAAGAGAACTGATTCTGAATAAAATAATTGTGAAAAAGTCTCAGGAATCCTAGAATCTAATTCCACCTGCCTGACCTTGCGTAAATTCCTGTCCCATCAAGGGCCTCAGTTTCCTTACTTGTAAAACAAGAATCTGACTATGATTAGAAAATTCTTCCCAAATTCGAACCTTTGTAGTTCTGGTTTATCCTCCCCATTTCCAGCTTATATCATTGTTTGACACTACCTAGAACTACACTTCAGAAAGCTAAATTTTGTTTTAGTTTTAGATATGTGTTGGATCAGACAGAATGGAGTTTCTGGAAGCATTCACATCCATGGCCCAGACGAAAATTTAAATGATTGCTTCTTACTCTGTGACTTTGGAGCAGAACTTTGGAGCTCTACAGTAAGTTAATATTTGTGTCATTGTTATTTCCCACATAGAAAGAACTTGTTCTAAGAGGGATGAAGGGACAGATCTTTTATCACTCAGCTTGCCCCTGCCCTGAGTGTAATCAAGTGCTTCCCTTGAGGGTTGCTGAGAGAAAGTGATGCTCTGTACAGCTGTGTAGCAGGTATCAAGAGGCCAGTTGTCCTAACTAGCGCTCTTGCTTCGCAAGGTTACCTGAGTGATGGCCTCACTGTAATATCCATATATCCCAACAAAGTGACAAATGGTAAGAAGCAAGTACAAAAATAAGACTCCAAGTGAAATGAATTGACACTTCACAGAAAGAAGTAAAAATGGCCAATAAATACATGAAGAAATGCTCAATATCACTGGCCATTAGAGAATTGCAAATTAAAACAACACTGAGATTGCATCTTACCCCAAAAAGAATGGCCATCAAGAAATCAAATGACAAATGCCAGTGAGGGTGCAGGGGAAAAGGGACTCTTCTACATTGTTGGTGGGAAATGTAAACTACTATAATCACCATGGAAATCAGTATGTAGATTTCTCAAACAACTAAAACTAAAAATTTCATTTTCATCCAGCTATTCCTCTTCTAGGTATCTTCCTAAAAGAGTTAAAGACATCATATCACTGTGGTACATGCAAACCCATGTTTATAGTAGCACAATTCATAACAGCAAAATCTTGGAAGCAGCCTATATGTCCGTCTACAGATGAATGTATAAAGAAAATGTGGTATTTACACACAATTGAGTGTTCCTCTGACATAAAGAAGGATAAACTTGAGTCATTTGTAGGAAAATGGATGCACCTTGATGCAATAATGTTAAGTGAAATAAATCAGACATATAAGCTTTAATATTACATGATTTTTCTTATATGAGACATCTAAATTGTAATGAAAGAGCAAAATAAAAAATAGATAATAGGAAGTAGGGAGATAGATCTTTCTCAAAGGGGAAGGAGATCGAGAGGTGGAGGGAGGGGTAAGGATGGGGAAGGAAAGGGGGTGTAAAAAGAAATTAAGATGTTTTATGTACAGGTACCAACTCCACACAAGGAACATAAATATTATGTCCTACAAATATATACAAATAAAAAAATAAAATTAAATTTACAAATAAGAAAAATGTATTGAAAAACTTTTCTTAAATAAGTCTCCACTACTCCCATATATTTTCATTGTGTTCACATCTATTATAACAATATTCACTGTAATACACAGTTCTACAATTTGCAAAACGATTTTATTCTTATTAATTCACAAGACCTTTCAATGAAGATGGTTCCTGGCAGGAAAGAGTTGGGCTGTGATTGTTATCATTTTTCTAGGTAGAAAAAAATGACTCTATGTCAAGATGTAGTATTTTGCAAACTTTTACAGACAGAAGTGGCAAAATTAAGATTTAGGTTCAGTTCATCTCACTGAAAATCCTTCATTCAGCCCAACAGACCATATGATCTCTCACTGTTATCATCTTGACTCCTACAGAGGTGCTGCATACTGAGAAAGACTGGTGAAACAGACAATTGGAGACATTGTGACGAGAGCTAGAAACTCGAGTGACCTAGGAATATGTGATGTCAGAATGATAGGAAGATGGCCACTTACAAAGGACTAAGACAGAGTAATATCAGAATTCTTATCAGTATCCCTTGGGAATTAAAAGAAAGTGAAAACTTCAAACTTCAGAGGGAAAAGATTTGAACATAGAACTCTATACTCACCCAAGCTATCAGTCAAATGTAAAGGCAAAATTCAGATACTTTTGGATAAACAAAAAATTTGACCACTTTACTGCCTTCACACTCTGTAAAAATCATACTTGAGGTGTGACCTTCAATGAACATAGAATAGAAACTTGAGGGAAAGCATGTGATGGGATCTAAGATACAGAGCAGCAAAAGTAGCAAAGAATGATAGAGAAGAAATGAATACTAGATATCAGATAAGAGAAAATCTATTATGTGGGACATCTGGAAGATTCTTTTTGACCTCGAATATCTTAGTGGCATAGAAAATTTCCTGCTGTATGATTTAACTCACGCTTCCTGGTTCTACATTGAATAATATTTATATAACCATCACATTATGAATTCTGGTTGTTTTTTCCTTTAAAAATCTGTTATATAATCACCTACTATGCTTTTATGATTACAGAAGAGAATGTACATATAATAAATTTAGTTTAAAAATAGTTAAGAGGAAAGAAAAATTTGGAAATGAAAAAGTATAGTGGTGTCATTTCCTTTATAAGAGAGTCTATGGCTGTGTAAAGGTGATAAATCCTGCAATAGAGTTTAGTTATACTACTTAAATTCATGGACACAACCAATAGAAGATCCAACAATAATCAAGCTAAAAATTGGGAGGTGGAAGGGAAAGAAAAAAATGGATAGTAATGTGAGTAAACGCTCAATCCTCATACCTGGGAAATAATGGTTTCTGCCAAGAATTTATAAACAAGAAAGTGGGAGCTAAGTATGTTATATAAAATTATAACAATACTAGAAAAACTAAGAAGCAGGAATACTGACAGTGATGGTCTCCAGGGAGAGGGGTTGGTGATGAAGTGAAGGATGATTTTTCTTTTATTTTTGTTCTTCTGCACTGTTTGAATATTTTAAAATTCTATGCATGCATTAATTCTATTTTAAACAAAGGAAGATTCATTCTATTTAAGTATCTAATAACAGGTAGATGAAAATTTGGATGATGGTTTGACTAGATGCTGTCATATATTTAAACTCATACAGAGAACAAAAAAGGAAAGACTTAAAAATCAGGTTAATCCTTTTATTTCAAAAATAAAGCATCATGAACCAAGAGGAAGAAACTAATTCTTTCAATGATACTATCTTGTGCTGACCGTAAAACTCAGATTAACCTTCTGCTCAATGATACTCTGTTCAAGACTGAATTAAAGAATTTTTCCCATTTTGATATCTATTTTATTCCAATAATGTTATAAACAACTACAAATACATAAATGGATTAGGAAAAATCTAAAAGTTCTATCTATCTCATTAGGTAACGCCTTTCTAATAAAATTTACCAGTTAAAGAATTTTTTAAAGTGACCGACATTATGCCAACTTGAAGCACCTGTCAACCTCAAAATTTTGTAGTTTGGGAGCAATTTTATCATGCTCTCAACCTCCTGATCTAAAAGGGAGTCTGAGCTTAATCATCTCTGCCCCTTTCTTCTTGGTTTCTTGGATATGTAACAGGAGAATATCTATGCCTTTTAATAGCAGTGTAGTTCCATGAGTTTGTAAACCACAAAATTTAGACCAATGTAATGGATGCCACTTTCATACTTTGCTCATTGCCATGGTATACAGAAGAGTCTATATAGACACTGGGTGGATTTACACAAACATAAATATGTTTAATCTCTCTTGACATGTGTCATAGTCATGTGGGCTGAAACTCTAGGCCTCTATGATCTACTAGGCCTTTGAATCATACTGCTTTATGTGACAAGACATGGTTCTATCAGAGAGCATTCTCCCATTTGCTCCTTGACCAAATTGAGGTGCTGGACAGACATATATGCCTGCTCCTGTTTAGCTTTCCCGCTGTCTCCTTTCCTTCCTTCCCTTCCCTTCCCTTCCTTCCCTTCCTTCCTCCGTCCCTCCCTCCCTCCTTCCTTCCTTCCCTCTTTCATTCCTCCTTCCCTCCATTCCTCTCTCCCTTCATTTGCTTACTTCCTCCCTTTCTCCTTTTCTTGCTCCTTTACTTCCTCTCTTCCTTCTTTTCCTTCCCCTTCTGCCCTTTCCTCCTCTTCCTATCCTCTCATTCTTCTCCTCCTCTTCCTCTCCCCCTTCTCCTCCTCTTCCTCTCTCCTTCTTCTCCTTCTCCTTCTCCATTAACCTCAGTAGAGAACTTAGCTTTTTAAACCTTTCTGTTCTGAGATCAGTATCTTCCAAGCTTCAGTTTTCTCTATCCTGTGTCCTATCCATCTTTGCCCCTGCATGTGCTGGGTTACCAGGTGTCTAATCATTCTCAAAAGTGCCATGTGTTTCACCCTTCATGAGTTTGATGACATGGTTCATTCTGCCTACACCACCTGCCCACTCAACACACTCACTGACACAAACTCAGATCCAATCCCAACTTCAAACCTCAGCTTGTGGATCAACCTTCTCCATTAAACCTCCCTGAGTGCCCCAAACTTAAGTAATCATTCCCTTCCCCTGCTCTGTTGCTATAGCTTTATTGCCTTGTCCTGCCTAAAGGCACAAGTCTCTGTATTAGTTATTTATGCATGTACTTAACATCTCATCATTCTCTGGATCCATACCTAAGTCTCTCTCTCTCTCATTTTCTATTGCACAAGCCTGGTACATCATAAGCGCTAAATAAATGTCTACTGAGTTCTATTGATTTACACAGCTAGCATGGCAAAGTCTGGGACTGAAGCTCAGGTTTTGAATGTTGCTCCAGTGTACTCTCTGTTACACTATATGGTCTTGTACAATGCACAAGACCTGTCCCAGCTTGATGCCAATTCAAGCTGACAAGGAAAAACATAAGGTATGAAACTGTCCTTGGATAAAGCAAAACAACAGAATTTGCCGCTTTGATGTTTCATAAGTAGTGAAAACATGTCAGATCCCATTAGGCAACTTCAACATCCTTTAAAGGAAGGACAGAAGATGCTGGTCAAGTGTTATGGGTGCTACATACTTTTTAAGCTGTTCTTAAGAAAATCCGCTGGTATCCAGAAGTGGTTTGCCTTAGAGAAAAACCTTCACAAAGCATTAGTCTCTATATATCCTTTCTGAGGCCACCACAGATTATATGGTGATTTAAGAGGATAAAAACTAAGAGGTTAAACTATTTAATAAACCCAGCTTCCAACAACCAGATTAAAAAAGAAGTGCAAGCATTTCACTTATTATAATAATTACTATTTAACCAAGAAACCTCTGTACCATTTTTATCCTTTTAAAAAAATTGAAACTATTATCCTAGTCTAAATT